TTCTTTTTTTTTTTTTTTTTTTACTTTTCACTTTTTACTTTTTTCTTCCCAAGTTTTCTGCTTGTTGGGGCTAGTGAAAAAAAAAAAAAAAAGTTGGAATCAGAGGATTTTAAGTCTCAAATTTATAAATTTTTTATATTATTTTATTTTGGTTACTTAAATTTTATCATCCATCTTCTATTTTTGGATTGGGTAGTTGGATTGTAACCTTATTGTGGGATTGGTTGGGTTGACACAACATAAAAATCCTGAATTTTTGTTCCCACCTATAGTTTGGGTTGATCGGATTATTAAAGGTATTTATTTTAGCTCTAGAATTTTTAGTTACAAATTATTATTTTAAGTGTTATTATGTCGTCAAATTTAAAAGAATATATGTGTTAGTGTGTTATGGGTGTGTGAGATCCCACATGAGTTTTGAAAGGGATAAATATGAGGAGGTGTGCTTGCAAGGACGCTAGGTCTTAAATGTGAGTAGATTGAAGGGTCTCACATCGATCGGAGAAGGGAACAAATATTAGTGAGGATGTTAGACCTAAAGGAAGTGGATTGTGATGTATTTGTTTTGAAAAATTTTAAGGGGAAGTCCCTAATGGACTTAAAAAGAAATAAAAGTTATGAAGTGTACTATGCTTTCTTACTGATTCATATATTCTTTTCAAAGGTAAAGTTATGATAATTGTAAATGTTAAATGCTTTACATTAACTCTTTCAAGTAAATTTTTATGCACAAATTAATGGTTCCATGTGTTCCATCTCATGAATAGATATATAATTGAATATGGCTGCTTCTTCTTCTCTAGACCCATAGCTTTCAACGGTTTCGTGTGAATAAATATGATCTTGTATTCGATTTCATATTTGACATGTATTTCAAGTTATGAGTCATAATTAGTTTAAGTAAAATTATATTCATCATATTCAATCGTATATCTTATGGTTTAATTTTTTAAATTATTGACTTTCTTTTTCATATTAAGAACACGTGACTTAATGATAATCGATGAACAGAATTATTAAAAATTCTAAGATTCAAGCTACCGATCAAACAAAAAAGTTGATATGTTTAATTAGGTTTAAATTACATAGCTGAGAGGTTGAATGAAACGATCTTACCAAAATTTCTTGTGTTTTTGCATTTGATAAGTAATTTTAATTATTTTAAACGACACCAACTTTTGGAAAGAAACTCGTAGCTTATCATTTAACAAACATGTTTTACAACATATAACTAAACGACTCTATAAATTTCAAAAACCAAAGACTGAATACGAACGTGAGTGAGGAGATTTATAGCTTGTCGGTAAATAATTGAAAGGCTATTATAGGTAGGAAGCAGCCTAATCCAATCCATTTGATCACAAGCATTAATTCACCATGTGCTAAGGACACCCATATGCTTATCATCTATTATTGGACTAGCTACATTTAGTATATCATATACTTTCTCGAGTTCAACAACTTCGAAATTGACGTTTTAATCATCAAATCTATGAGATTATTGTTAGTTTCTTACCTATAGACCGCTACGTTCGTATTGACAAGTAACTATAACATATACTCATAATGTTGTGCCATATTTTATAATTTCAATTTCACGGGTGTATTTGATTCAATAAAAGATGGAGTAATTTTTCTCAAAATATATAAGATTGCTGATTGTGAGTGTGACAGTATTGATACAATGACACGTAATATGTATGATAACGAGGATCTTTCATATTGTATAATACAATGACACAAATGCCCTTATCAATGTATGAAACAATAATATGACAACCCACTTATCATATTTTTACAATATACGAATGTCAACCGTACCGAGAGGCATGTTGATGTGAATGTTAGAAAAATGAGATCAACCGTATCAAGAGGTGTGTTATTTTAAAATTTGTCATAACTTAATTACTCGTAAACTTGTAATCACGAGAAAATCATGATTGAAATAGGCTTAAGAACTTAGTTCAAAATTGAAAAAACATTATTATACTACCCTAGCACGGAAAGAACTTAGTTCGTACATTAGTTCTTTACTCTTACTTGAAAAATATTTAATATTAATATATATTATGATTGGTGTGACCTCACTACTATTTTCTCTTTTCGATAGAGCTAGATGTATAGTATTTCTCTACACACAGTTTATTCACGCGCATATGAACCCACTCGGTGGACTTATTAACATACTCCCTAGGTCTAACTATGCGCTAACACGCACTACTACTACTGAAAAATCAACTGTAAAAGAAGTAAACAATGATCATATGACATACAACACGCACGAGATCCCACACATTAACAATCACTATTGAATGAAATAATGCATGAATTTTGGGACGAGTTGTGTGGGACGGTCAAAGTAGTTACACCGACCCAACCTAGTAAACTAAAGGCAAACTAAGCCGAAAAAACGAACCGAAGATTTTCATTGGACGGGTAAACTTAAATAAATAAGAATGTGGTCAACGTGTTCATATTGGAAGAATAGAATAGTAGTTTTAATTCTATCAACAATGGCGGCTCCAATATTGATCATAATTTATAACTCAATTTCTCTCAACTTTCCCCTTCTTTCTTTATCTCCTCCACATAATCCCCTTCCTTCATTTCACACAGCTTCAGATCCACCGCCTTGCCGCCGTCAACGGAGATGGAAGTGGCCGTCGGAGTCTCTCCCGCCGGCGACCTGTTCAACTTCGGCAGCCCTTGCTCCTCCCACTATCTCTCCGCTCCTTCCACTCCCTTCTCCTCCCTCAGTGCGCCCACCAGCCCCTCCTCTCACGCCGTCAACTTCTTCCGCCACGACGACGACGTTCCGATTGGCTCTCCCTCCGCCGTCCCCTTCCGCTGGGAGGAGAAACCCGGCATTCCCAAATCCCCCAATTGCTCCGCCGAGCAAGATTTTGAATTTGATTTCAGCCGCCAGTCGCTCTTCATTAAAGCTTCCCTCTCCGCCGATGAGCTCTTCGACGGCGGTAAAATCCGGCCGCTCAAACCCCCTCCCGGATTCAAGGTCAGTGTTTTTTTCCGACCAAATGTTAAATTAAAAATTACAAGTTCCTCTGCTAAATTTATTTTCTTCGACAGTCGAACATATCGTCGCCGAGATCGCCGCACAATTCGAGGATTTCCCCTCGGAAAACGAAGAACAGCTCCGACATGAACATCAACGACGACCCATTTGAAGCGGCGCTAATGAAAGAGACTCTTAGCCATCGAACCAATTGTGAGCTCGCTGATAAACAGAGCAAAAACAGAGGAAGAACAGAGGAAATCTCATACATTTCCTCTGATTTTGCTCGCAAACCCACTCGATCCATTTCCCCTTACAGAATCTCCTCTCGAACTCCAATTCACGGCGACGTCGACAGCTCAACGGGCGCGGGAAAGTCAAAGTCGTTGTCGTTCTTGTCGGCGATTTCGTTCTCTAAGGCCAATAGAAAATGGAGGCTCAGAGACTTATTGTTTCGTAGCACTTCCGAAGGCCGAGCGACGGAGAAAGCTGATAAGCTGAGGTCTACTTACGTTGTAATGTCGGAAAGAATGGAGAACGACGTGAAGATTTCGAGTTTCCGATCAGCCGACAGCGTCGATCCGAGGAGGCATTTCACAGCCGCGAACCGGACAGTTTCCGAGGAGTTAATGAAGAAGAAGAGCTTTTTGGGCCGTTGCTTGCGGTTTAACCGGTCCGGTATGCAGGAGATTTCTAGAGATATTGGGTCGTTGACACGTGGATGAACCGGCAGATTTTTTATTTTGATTTTTTATTTTGTTTGGATTGATAAATGTAAGAGAATATTTTTTTTTTCAGTATTTTATATACAAATAAATAATAAAGAATTTAAGTTTTTGGGCATGTTTTTTAGAGGAGGATAATATATTTTTTTATATATTTAAAAACACTAAATTAATAAAAAAATATCAACTTTCTATTTAAAAATATTTTTTAACTTTCAAAAGGTTTAAAAATACCTTTAAAACCATTAAATTTTCAAAACTTTCATTAAATAATTAATTAAAAAAAACATTAAAAAAACCTTTAAACTTTTTTAAAAACTAAAAAAAAAAAAAACTTTTTCCTTTCCAAAATAACATTAAAACGTTTGTAGATAACCTATGGACATATTATTGACGGAATTTTTTTAAAATTTTTTTACGAAGGTAAAGAGTATTAATGTTAATTTTAAAATTTCTCGGGTATTTTTTAAAC